TTAGTCGACTAATCAAAGAAATAATCGACAGGTTAGTTGACAATGAAAATAATTGTTAGTTGCAGCCCTTATAACTACAAGGCTGTAGTAGTGGGTAATAGATGCTGATATATAATGTTTACATGCATTTAAAAGTTGCTCCAATGATGTCTGTATTTGACATTCATAGCCCAAACAGTAGCAACAGTAGCAGCAGCAACAGTAGTAGTAGTACTGTTTTCATTTTCTATTAATCAGTTGATTACTTTCTCAATTATTCAATAAGTTTGGTCCATAAAATGTCAATAAGACTTTTGCAAAGTCCTCGAATGTCTTGTTTAGTCCACAATGCAAAGATATTCAGTTCATGGTCATAGAGGAGTAAAGAAACTAGGGGTGGGCCTCACGATACGATGTTATCACGATACTGAAGTCAAGATACAATATTATTGTGATGTGATGAGTATTGCAACACCATATATTGTGATACATAGCAATTTAATACCTTTGTTCAACTGCAAATTATGTCCTCAAAGAAAAACTTTGTCAATATTTGTTTGATCTAATAGGGTTTCAGTCTGTTCATCTAATGTCAGTCATTTTTATGCAGCAAAATGTATCTAGTGGATTGAAAAAGCATTTGATTATATGATTGTAGTATTCTACCTAACGTTTAATTTGTTTTTGTCGTATTAATAATTCATATAATAAAAAATCGATACTAGTATTGTGTGACGATACGATACTGCCACACAAAAATATCGCAATACAATGCTGTATCAATTTTTTCCACCCCACCTAAAAGAAACCAGGAATAGTTCACATTTAAGAAGCTTTTTTCCTTCTTAAAAAATTACTTAAACCAATTAATCAATTATCAAATTAGTTGACGATCAATTTAATAGTAAACAACTAATCAATTTTTCCATTAATTGTTGCAGCTTGATGTAAACAACAGAAGCTCACACATTAGGATCTTAAATCCCTCTTTTAGGTTTCATTTGCAGCAATGTCAGCGGCCTACATTATGTTCCTTTCAACATGTTGTTATTGGACTTTTTTTGCACTGCTAGTGGCCTTAATCCTCAGTGGAAGATGTAACCGTATTACATAATAAGCTTCACCAATTTAAATCAGCAGCAATATTAGTCAAGTTGTGGTAGCAAGCAATTACTAATGTTTTCATTTGATCTTTCATTGTTACGCTTTCATCTGCAAAGACACTTAAACCATAAGCATGTAACTAATGCTAAGCCACTTTTCATTTGTTTAACATGATTACAATTTCTCATGCAGCAGGATCACAAGTATGCCGAGTGAACGAGCATCCACAGTCTGATTACTCAGAGCCTTTTAGAGTCAGTCAGTGTGTGTTCTCTCTGTCATTCTACCGGCTGCTGCATATTAAGCCGGGCAGACACCGCGTGGATTAAGCCCAATTTAGCCTCGAATTTAGCCCCTCAAACTAATTTTAGAATCGGGGCCGAATTTCTGCCGGATCAGGTGTCGTTTGAGGGGACACCTGATTAACTTCTCTGATCTGATGGATTTCTGGCCTGTCGGAAATCTTAGTCGGCTGTCGGATTTGTCAGAAGATCTGTTACAAACTGCAGGGAGCTTGTTTTAATGTTATCGCAGTAGAATTCTACGTGTTGTGGATAAACTGTCTTGAGACTGCTCACAGACTCTACATCTGCAGCTCAATATCTTTCTTCTTACTTCACGCTCATAGTAAAACTGCACAAAGTAATGCTGCCTTTCTCTCTTTTTAGTAAACACAGAGTACTCAACCATAAACTTTATTGAAAATGTCACTGGACAAGACTCACCAGGCGTTTTGTGATTATGTTTAGGGATTGCAGCCACATCATGGCCTGTCAATTGATCCGAACAGTGTGAGCAGAGAAGTTGCAGCTTCTGACAGATTAAAATGTGTGCAACATGAAGAGTGTCTGCTCAGCTTTAGACAGATTCAATGCAAATGACCGTAACAGGCCGAACAACTATCCAATACAACCAGCAATGCCTAAAACAACAGTAAGGCGGATGGAGAAAATCAAATATCACAATATCTTTGATCTAATATCTCGATATGGTGACAATATTGTAGGGTTGACTATTGGTGCTTTCACAAAATATTAGCACAATGAGATTTTTGATGAATCGTCATTAGTAATGTGGATATAATCATTAAGTGAGTATAAATAGAACAGCCGGGATAGTCTGGTGAGTTCAGATGATTACATCACTTTACTGTGATGTAGCCTTTGAAATCAGGAAAAGACAACACTTCCGACATTATGATATTCAAAATCAAAACCATATCCAGTCCCATATGATATTGACATTGTCAAGCCCTACATTAATGTCTTAAACAAGTATTGCTTTCCCTCATGCAGTCTCTTACAATAGACCTTCTTTACAAGACTCAAGCTATAGATTATTATTATTGATTGATTGATTATTTTATTTTATTTTCATAATAATACATTAGGAGATGCTATAACATTAATACAAAGTTTAAAGCAACCTGTGTAATAACCGGCTTCACTTATACAGGTGTTACTAACATTAATGATGGCTCCATTATATATTCCAGTGTCATGACAATGAGTCTGCATGCACAACACCAAGACCCTGAAACTGAAGCAGCTAAATATATTCGCCCATTGTTAATTTGATCATTTACACCTGTGCTCTTCCTACTGTGACATGTCAAAGTGTTTTCCACGAAAAAGCAAACATTTTTCTACATTCAAATGAAAACAGATAAATGAACTGCCCCATGCAATAACTAGAAGAGACACTCACATCTGTCTTTTGTCCACGAGGTACTAAGTAAAAAAAAAAAAAAAAAAAAGGTATATTCAGGTTCGTCCTGCCACAGCCAGCAAAAATATGCAAAGCACCAACTTAAGATTAAAAAGAAGACGAACTGGATCTGCAAGAATCACAAATATCCACAAAATGCATCAGAGGAGAAGAAAGAGAAATGTAGTGGGACAGAAGCTGGTCATTCTGTTCAGCATCTGCAACATCAGCATTTATGCTACTGCATCAAACCACAACTGAACAATGAATTTCAACGTGAGGACAACCCTCTGATTGTGCGTCTACATGTATCAAACTGACTAAAAGCTTGTGTTTCTGAGCATCAATCAGCAGATTTGGTACTGCAATGATTATGACACCTTGAATCGCCTTTGAACACTCACATTGAGAATGAAAAGCATTTCAAATGTAAGAGGCCATTACTTTAATACTGCTGTTGCGCACACACACATACTGTAGGTGGCCAGCACAGTCACCCTTTGCACTGCAGCAGAAAAGTCACCAGTAATTTTCTACACTTCCACTTGTTTTAATTGACAGGTTGATCTATGTGTTAAAGTGAACATGGGTACCAAGTTGAATGTTCTACTTCAATTCAGGAATAATGAAACATTACTTTTGTATTGACTCGCATACAAAATGCATGACATAATAGCCTGGCATCACGTTATCATTGGCCATAGATAAAATCTGCATCTAGACACAACTGAATGGACCTACAAGGAGAGCAACATATGACGGTGCACTGAGCGATAGAAAAATGTAAACAGACTGCAACGTGCAAAACTGAGTTGTGATAGTGTGACATCAAAGTGTCTATGAACGAGTGCTGCCGGTTTGACCCTCAGAATTTAAAAATAGTACTTTAATAAAAGTCCCACATCAGCTGTGGCCATCTTGGTTGTTGACATCATCACATATTTTACATTAAGCACAAAGTAAAGCTGGGCGACGTGGAGAAAATCAAACGTCAAGGTATTCTTGACCGAATGACTCAATATCAATGTTGTGTTGCTTTCACAAAATATTCACACAATGCGATTTTTTGATTAATAATAATCAGTTATGTGAATATAGTGCCTAAAAACAGTGTGGTAAGCTCAGACGATTACATCAATTTACTGTAATGTAGCCTTGAAAACCAGAAAAAACAATTACGATGATATAGAAAATCTAAGTCCACAACTACTCTCATATCACGATATCGATACAATATCGATATATTGCCCAGCCCTATGTGAAGGCTCTGTAAGCTGTTGGTCACAGTATCAAACCCGCCCCCATACTGGAGTAACAGTTGTGATTGGCCAAACCAGGGCCTGTTCAGCTGAAAATCTTTTTGAATAAGAGAGGGACCAGACGTACCTGCTGGAGCAAACAAAACATGACCTTGCAGATTTGTCTAATCCTCATGTTATTGAAATATTACACATTTCCACCTTTAAGGATCGTGTCATCCTTGAGTTTAAGTAGTGTAATAGTGCAAATTAATGTAAACGTTCAATATCAAGAAGAGAGTGTACTCAATTTTCAGCTACACTGTCTCATTGCTGCAGTGCTTTTCTTTTTTATTTAAAGCATGTTTGACACGATTGTCATCTGAGTTTATATCATTTTCATGGATGAAGAATCAGCAGAGCAGCTATCAAATCAAATCACTATCCATGGCTGGGACTCGTCGACATTATAAAACAAGTTTGGAATCTCTAGATTGAACAGTCAAACATAATACATTTTGTTATGGGGGGGAAAAAAACTATATAAACGCAGTCTTAAAATTCTGAGGAAGAAGAGGAAGAGGGAGGCAATGATATCAGTTTCCAGAGTGAGTGATTTCAGAAAGCTCCTCAAACAAAATCATATTGAACTCTTTCCCTGTCCAATGGGAAAACACGATTCCCCCCAGTACCTGCACAAGAAAAGCCGAGAACACTACTTCAACCTTCTAACAACAAGTTAACTTCTGCAGCCTTTTGACATTTTCTCAACACCACAGGTGTAAATACACCATCTTCCTCTCATCTCAGCTGTCTCCTGTGCTACACTCAGACTCTGTTTTCATCTCACACTTCAAGCAGCATTCATGGTATTGTGGGGTTTCAGGTTTATTTCTAATTCAGCAGTTTGCAGAGAAAAGGCTGTGTAGTTAGAGCTGAAGTGAAGCTTTCTAGATGGCTGGGAGGATTTACCTGTACTCGTGACTGTCCTGGAATCTCGCGCTGTTGGCAACACGCTGTGGTGCCGTCTCCATTAGGAGCTTCTGAGTGAGCCGGTTGCTCGGCGCGGGGTCACACTCGGGTTGCTCCTCTGGCTCCTGGTCACATCTCCACTCCTCATCTTCATTTAGAGTCGGTAAATAACCCGATAGCCCTTTTCCATTCCCAGACACAGAGCTCTGATCGCTGTACAGCTTGGGACTCTCTCCTCCTGTCCGCGTATATTCCAAATATATGTCAGATTTAAGAAATAAGGGATATGTGTTTTCCTCCATCATTGTCTGTATCTCAGTCTGAGCCTGGTCGAACATTGCAGGATCAATGTGAAGCTTCATGACGCAGTCTTTGATGAAGGACTTAGTGGCTGGTTTAATCTGTCGGGAAACAATCCCGTTGTTGTCCAGGATGTATTTCTTATAGATGGCTTTCGCCAGTTTGACCTTCTTCTCCTCGTTACCCTCATTAGCTTCAAGTTTGCGGAAGCCACTGCATGCAAACCAGAAGTCCAACATATCCGCACACTCCTCCTGCTTGAGGAACGTCCTAAACAGATGGATGCCATCTTGGTCATCCAAGAGAGAGTGAAGAGATTCGGCCCACTTTAAGTAAGGCGGCGTAGGGGAAGCGCTTCCCTCCGGCTCGTAGCCCAGGTCCAAGTCAGGTCGCCTGGGCGTCGCCACGGACGCCTCGCATTTGAGGCTCTCGTTCCTCGCGGAGAAGCCAAGGCTGCCGTACTGGCGTCCATCACTGCAAACCAGCTCGCCTTCTTCTCCTGGAACTGGAGGTCTAGGAGCATCCTCAGTGAAGCTGCCACCCAGGTCTGCTAAGTAGTCCCTTTTGTCGCTTATGCTCATAGTCCCAGCATCCATAAACCACGTCCCCGTAGAGCCCACACTGCACAACTATTAGATCCAGACCTCTACTTATGCCACTGCAAAAAAACTCCTGCAAGGAGGAAAAATATAGAATGAGACGCAGCTTTATCACATCATTGAAAGGTGGAGTAGCTCTACCTTGACAGGGCACTACTATAGGAAGATAGTTTAATACTTATACTCAGATTAAAAGCTAAAATCAAACTGAAGAAATGCATTAATTACAAGAATTGATTTACAGTATCAGTTTATCAGAGAAAGGTTGATATGTGCCATAATCGCCATATGCCTGATGAGAAGAGGACTAGTACCTCCTTAGGGACTTTTGCACTTTTTTGCATTTTTATCAGATTTTCACGACAAACTCATCATGTTGCCAGTTTCCACATAAACATTTAAATTCATGCAAATTCTGCAGAAATCCAGAGGATCTCAAACGTGAGGCAAGCGACTGAAATGCTCTAAAACTAGAGAACAGCTACTGGTTTACCTTTGAACGCAGCTTGAATACACTGAAACAATCTTTGGCAACTACCATACAGTCAACTTACATCTGAATTATCGAATAACAAGAATAACAATAGAAATCGGTGATGAAATCAACTTTAAAAGCAATAATACATGTACACACTGAAAAAGAATTTCACGCTCCTGATCTGTGACCGCATATTCTGCATAACATCTGCAAACCTAAGCAGAATCTGGAGTCATTGGCTTATCATGTGGTTTTGATAGTCTATAATGTGGTTTTGATAGTCTATAATTGTGCCTACTGAGTCACAGTCAGAGTTATGTGGGAGTGTTGTGGTAATCCAAGCCAAGAGTCATGGCTTCAGAGCTGTCTGGCCCTGGAGGCACTGGTATGAATATGGTGTAGTGTTAATGTAGTTTGCAGTAATAATATCCTCTGATTTATATGCATAAGCATATCATTACTTTACACTGCTACTCCAGTTACATCCAAATTAGTATGAGTGTATCACCACAATGATATATTCACTTAAGGCTTACAGTATGAACTCAGTAGTGAAGCAGTCTCTCTACTATGTGATACTTTATTGATCCATGTATCATATTCTCTCATTTCATGCCCCTGCTATCATAATGCAGGATCAGCTGCAGAGAGAACGATTCTAGGGATTGAATGTCTCGTTCAAGGACATGTCCTGCTCCTAAAGCATTGTCCCTGAGCTTTCTTGCTGAGCAAAGACACAGTAGTAGAGAACATACAGATCATGGTTAAGCTTCCCAGATACAGTTCCAGAAACCATTTTAGTGCCGATTCCCCAGTACAGCCACAGCGTAGGAAAAAATATCCAATTTCCTCTGACTGTTTGTTTAAATGCATACATCCATGCAGCAGCCGATATTTCCTGACAGATGAGGCCAGGATGAAATCATGGTGACCGCTAATGTCTCTGACCAATCAAAATCCTCTTCATAGCCCCGTGCAGTTGTTAATGGTTTTGGGATTAAAAATATATCTTGAAGAAAAGTAGATTTAGAATTTTCAGAAGCGGCTGACAGCTGGGCTGTGATTTCAAAAGAAATATATATTTTTTTAATGGTTGCCATCATGTTCCCTTTAGGGCACACCCACTCTCTGTCTTTTCCAATACAGATACAAATCATTTTCCCTGACTGAACAAAGACAGCAAAGACAAAACTGGCAACAGTGCTTTTCTCCCTGCACAATCCTGAAGTGTGAGCAGCACGTGCACTGTGCACAAGGCCAGGTGTGCTAGACTCAAATGATAACCAGAGGAAAAATATTTGAATACAAGCACATTTCACTGATGGTGTATCAATGCTAAGGAGGTGATGTGTTAAACTAGCAGTCATGTTGCTACCTGTGTGCGCTGATGCATCGGCACGAGAGATGTTCGCTCAGCGCATTGATATTGAAATTAGCGGTTCTGCGGTCACAGGTGTGCGGCTGCACAGGGATATGTAAAAAGGCGTGATTTCAGCCGCGTTCAGGAAATGTCCCCTCTTTTTCCTCTCAAACTGTATCCGCTTGTTCCTTTTGAAGTGAGCCTCTCATCACATTCATGTCTTGGCCTCTCCAGAATGAGCAGAACAGCAGCGGCGAGTGGGGGAGGGGAGCCAGAAACAAACTCCGTACACACACACACACACACACACACACACACACACACATACACACACACTCACATAGCCAGGCCTTTCAGCAGCCGACCGACAAGTGCACAACTTTGTCACACTATTCACCTATTAATATCCGCCCTGTCTCCGCTAACAGCTGCTAAACTAAACGAACAACAGGCCGACCGCAAACATTTCCCCTACCGTCAGAGGACACAGAGGGAATCCCACACCAATTTCCGAATAGATTTACAAGCAGCAAAGCGATGGCACATATCTCTCCCCGACTACCGCAATCCCAATCTCTGAGCTGTGGGGGGAGAAAAAAGTGACATATACTTAACCGGTGAAAATCTTCTTGCTGCTTTCGAGTGCATCGGGCGTTTGGACCGGCACCAGTCACCGCCAACAGTGTCATAGTTGCGAATTGCAAGACTTTAAAAATAACAAAGACAACAGTCCGCTCTCCACCTCTCCATGACTGTCTCTCACTGTCTGTGCGGAGCTCAGGCTGCACGGCGGATGATGCACAGCGCCTCGCCCGTTCACTACACACATTACCAGTGTTTAGTTTGGCTACATGTGGTACACTCATTTTTTTTTTGTCTTCCTCTCTCTCAAGGATTGAAATAAATATATTAAAAATGAAGTTGTGTTGCAATTTGGCTCAAAATCCACTGAAATATGGCTCAACATGAAAAACATTTGAATCAAAAATATAAAAGACTGTGGATCTTTTTGTATTAACCTAATTCAAACCTCTACTGAGGGAGGAAATCAGTGCTTTCAACATATAAATCCCAATGCCGTAGTAAACATTACATATAAGTATATTGTTTATATCAGGGGTGTCAAACTCATTTTAGTCCAGGGGCCGGACCAGTAAAACCACTACACAATAACCTATAAATAACGACCCCTTCGATTTTTCCCTTTTTTTTAGTGTAAAGGAGTTTATTCCCTCAAGAATTAAAATAAATATATTAAAAAATGAGGTTGTAGCATTCCCTTTATTGCATTTTGGCTCAAAATCCACTGAAATATGGCTCAACATGAAAAAATATTTGAATCAAAAATATAAAAGACTATGGCATACTGGCTGATCTTTTTGTATTAACCTGATTCAAACCTCTACTGAGGGAGGAAATCAATGCTTTCAACGTATTAATCTCAGCACCATAGTAAGCATTAAATATGGATCACAAGGAAGTATAAGTATAGGCATTCTCGTGCCTATATTCATATCAGGGGTGTCAAACTCATTTTAGTTCAGGGGCCACATACAACCCAGTTTGATCTCCAGTGAAGCCATTGCATAATAACCTATAAATAACGACCCCTTCAGATTTTTCCCTTTTTTTTAGTGTAAAGGAATTTATTCTGAAAACGTTCATAGTTACAAAAGAAATGATAAACAGCCTGCCATATCCTACGAAAAATACGTGCAAATTCAACAGCATGTCTTGGGTTTTCCACATTTAGTCAGTCGACCACTTGCTTTAATTACGTGTGCATTTTTTTCATAATTTTCCTCTAAAGTGGAAGCTATTGAAGCAGCAGGTGAAGTAATCCCCTGCCTTACAAACCATTTACAATCTGAAATTCTGTCAGTGCCTTAGCAACAGGGTTGCACCCATATTGTTTTATGATTGAAGTCTGATACAGATTCTTTTGTACTGAAGCTGCTGGTTAATAATATTTTGCACATTCTTCAGTATCTTTAAATTGAGCACACTAAGTATTCATTGTTATCTCAGAGAGCTGTATTCTGGTCAGGGTGGCAGCATTTTACACTAAGTATCTACTCACTGCTTAAACCTGACACCTCACCGCCTTCGCAAGTACACCAATATGAGGTGTGGACCCTCTGGCAGCCCGGTTCTTGTGTGTTTGACATCCCTGGTATGCTATATTTAAATGAAGATGTTTGTGCTAATGCAAATTACAATATTGATTATGTCAGATCTACAGCCCACATCAAATAAAGGTGTGGCCTACTGTAGCGATTTAAAATTCCATTTCCATACACTTGGTGGACATGCAGGACACTGTTGATGCAGCAGAGGCAGAGTTGTCCTGATTTTTAAATCCCTAGTATGGGTCAAGCTCCAAAAATGCTGGGTCCCACTTTTCCCATGATGCAACTCAATTGCTCCTTTCTTTAGATAAACACATGATATCATCAGTGGCTTCCTGCACAGCCACAGAAAACACTGAAAAACTTGTTACAGGCTAGATAGTACTCACTGTGACAGGTTGACACTTAAAGGGACAGTTCACCCCAGGTCAAAAATACATATTTTTCCTATTACCTGTGGTGTTATTTATTAATCTAGATTCTAGAGTGTTTTGGTGTGAGTTGCTGAGTGTTAGAGATATCAGCTATAGAGATGTCTGCCTTCTCTCCAATATAATGGAACTAGATGGCACTCAGCGTGTGGTTCTTAAAGCCCCAAAATAACACATTTGGAAAAACTCAACAGAAATGTCTCTTTCCAGAAATCATGACCTGGTTACTAAAGGTAATCCACAGACCTTGTCCTGAGCAGTTTCATGTAGGGACTATTTTCTTTCTACTGAACTACACCCGCTATCTGTGTCACTGCGCAGAAGGAAGTGTGCATCTACTAATGGGCAAGAGGCTTGTGCATGTGACAACAATTATATTCTAATAGTTTGATACTGCACCACATCTTACTCTGACCTGGTCACATATTGACATTTGGTCATGGATTTTCCATGTCTAGACACAACATGCGAGGTACCCTGGGTGCGTTGGTTTTTGATTTTCTAGGACGGCTTGTCAAGTTCTGCCTGTTACATGCACTGTCTTCTTTCAAAATACACTTAAGTTTTCACAGGAAATTTACCTTTACATACAGTCTCTTTCAAAATAAACACACATTGTCTGTACAACTCCGCCAATATATATATATTTTTTCCTTCAACAACTAAAACACATTGTTGGGTTTAGGAAAAAAGAACAGTGTTTGGTTTTATAATCTTACAGTATGTGAACACTCTCCTGGATGAAAATGAGGACCCATTCACCACCCCTCCTTCCCACCCCACTTGGATTTTAGCCACCTTAACTTTCATTCTTGTCCTGCTGTGTTTCTCCCTGACGTCGCCAACCGTTGTTAAACTATGACAACGACCAACCGTGTATCAAAGGATGACTTTGTTCGTCAGCGTCTGATGCCGAAAGTCACTGCCCAAGTGCTGGATTTAGATGATTTCGGAGTGAGACTGGGTTGGATACTGCTAGCTCACCTGTGCTAACTAATGGTACAGCTCAGCCAAATAGGACACTTTTAATGTTTATATCTCATGCTGTCATGAGTAAAAGCCTCTCATCTACGAGTAGATGCTTACTTCCCTCTGCACAGTGATATGGTTGGTGGTTGTAGTTCTAGTTCGGTAGAAAGAAAATAGCTGCTACATAAAAACTGCTCACACCAAGGTCTGTGGTCAACCAATGATTTCTGGAAGGGGATACTGTTGTTACGTTTTTCAAATGTATTTTTTGACACTTTAGCACCAACAGCCAACTGTCAACTACAGCTTATATCTCCAAGACTTAGCATCTCACACCAAAACAATTTAGATCAATAAATAGCACAACAGGTAAGACAGAAAATGTGTATTATTGATTTGGTGTTAACTGTCCCTTTAATGCATGAAACCAGTTGTGCCCCTTTACAGGTCCTATCTATCATGGCTCACATTGCAATGTTTGGGGCCCCATAAGATATATAAGACACACAATTGCTATTTGAGTGTTGCAAATGCAATGTGGTTTTAAAGTGGAAAGTGTGTGTTTGCAGATTTTCATTCCAACCGGAGACTGCACAAGATGACTTCACTGATTGGGTTACAGTTGAATTAGCTTACCATAGCACATGTTTCACCTTTCCTGTTAGGTGGTGCATTCATACAGCCTTTGTCATGAATTTTACTACCAGGAAGTCCCAGAACAGCTGACCAAGTCATAAATACCAGCCGTAAACTTACTAACACCATGATAGCTGTGCTTATGAGTTATATTTTACTTCAGCACATAATGGACAACTAGCCACAAATGTAACTCCCTGTCTCTGTCACCACATGCACAGTGACACTGTGATTTACAACATTTGCGTGCTTTCAACAAAATTCAAACAGGGAAATTCAAGTCTGCTGTCCAATATAGAAAAATTACAGTGATGTGACCACTCAACACAAACAGTTGGGAAGAACTTAATGTAACAATCATTCTCAATAGCTTGCAACCTTCCTCTGTTTGAATGATCCTAGCTACTAATGTTGCCCAAAGTTTTGCAGCAGCCTTGAAGATGCATTTGTTAATTTCTGGTGTGTTTAATGCATCTATAATGAAAAACAAACTAAGCACTGATGTACAACTTCTGTATAAACACTGCAGTGTTATAAACACCCGGCAACATGCCACTTTGCACCATTAGATGAAATTTAAATCTTTATTTTGACTGTTCTGGCTGAGAGTATGTCACACAGCTGGTGAGCAGAACTACAAATATGGGCCTTTATATGTTGTAAGAACTGGTGCTGAAGCTTTGAAACAGACATCCAATGCAACAATGTTCCTCTCTGACCGCACTTTAGCAGCACCGTTAGAAACACTTGATCATGTCATTACTTTCTGACTTCACAGTACAAAGACTAAAAGGATAGACTAAACGCAGCAATAAAGGCTGTTGACAGTTTCAGAGCTCTCATTCACGGCAATCATTTTGTCACACGGTTTTACTCTAAGATGAAAGGCAGATGGGACACACCATAAAAACATAAACACATTTGATTATGTAATTACGTCAAACCATTTGGGAGCACAAGAAAGAGCAGGACTGTATATTTCACCGCCTGTCTCATCATATCACCTGAATTGCCTGCTCAAACCTAGAAACCTGTTAAAGTGTGCCGTGTATGCAGTGTGTACAATATGTCTGCCAGCAAGATAAACCATGAATAAGACCCAACACACTGCAGCTTCCTTGAGGCAAAATTGATTTTGGGTGGCAACAATTTAAACATCCTGATACTCTCACATTTTATAGGATCAATTATTTTCTCCAACCATCTTCTGTATTTCAATGATTACTGTCAGTTCAATGTGTCCATGTCAAAGGATTTCTTCCACTCAAAAACCTCAACAATGTTTCAGAAAGTCAGATTGAAGACGTGCTGGCCCCTCCAAAACATGACATGAAGACTAAAGAGAAATGCTGATTTACATGCAAATCAACATGTTTTACCTTGAGTTCGATCGTCTTCTTCACACATCCTCCAGCAGTACATCCATTCACTGAGGATTCCATTGCACCATTGTTAAACACATCAGGCTGCAGTAATGGGAACATCTCTCTCATCACCACGACACGAGAAGGCCCGGCCAAAGCAGAATGTCGCCATAGTAGTTTGTCTTTGCCATCCATTTGTTTCTGAAGAAGAAGAAGAAGAAGAAGAAGAAGAATATTTGTTAAGTCAACTATATACACAGTAAAAGGAAAGAATATGTATGTTGCAACTATTGTATGATTTTATTTCTGCAATGTTAAAGACATTTCTTACCAATATTGATTTACACAGTATATACTCTTCTACTCTAATTCCCTAACAAGTCTGCTTTATAGTTTACCTTTGATGCCATAAACTGACTGAACTCTACTGAGACAGAGTTTTCCCAACAGGAGCTTTCTGAAAATAATGATTTACTCTTTTACGATAGCATGTGACACTGTTGCTGTTAAAAACACACACAAATCTAGACGGAATCAAACCTGGAACAACATCCAGGATGATTTCATTGCATAAGAGTAAATTTTCTGTTTGACAACAAAGAGGGCATACCAATGGAGATAAAATATACTGCCTAATACCACTGCTCTGAATGTAACATCTGGGGACAAATAATACATGAAGTCCCACTGTTCACAGTTTAGAGCTTTGAGATTGAACGCATCATGAATATTTTTGACCCACCCTACTTTGCCTTACTCTGCCTCTGATTGGCTTACCCTGAGAGTCTTACCCTAATTCTTACCAATGCCACTGTTCTTGCCTAGACCTAATTAACGCAACCAATGAAGACAACAAGTACTAGCCCATCTGAGAGAGCAAGTAGGGTGGTTCATGCCTTTGTCAAACTTAAAGGTGCTATATACGACACTCACAGTCTAGGGTTGCATTGCCTGCATTCGGTGGCTGAGCCGCTAAGGGTGCTAACAGCGCTAACAATGGTAACAGCGCTGACAGAGCTTACAGTGTTAACTTGGGGTGGGAGTTAATGCTGTGTTGGTGATAAGCTTGCCAGTGGGACATGAAGGAAGAGACTCACATGTCGGCTCAGATGATGGATAAGCCACTAACTATGCTAACAGCGCTAACAATGGTAACAGCACTGACAGAGCTTACAGTGTTAACTTGGGGTGGGAGTTAGAGTAAATCTCTCCCGGGACACAATTTGTCCCGTTTTTTGGGGAAAATGCAGCAGCAGCAAGCCAAGGAGTCCATCCAGAATCAGTGCAACAGGCTCAAGAACATCTGTGTCAGAGAGACAGCAAAGAGGTAAAAGGAGCTGTGGGAGGTCCTAACAGTTCACTTAGTATATTTGCACATCCAATCATGTTTTAATTTGTATTTTTACCGTTTATATTTAACCCTACGGCCCGAACGACGCATAGTGCGTCCAAATTCACACCTGTTCTTCTCTATGGTTTTTCTCTGCGACCGTGCGTCATAGCGAGAAGCCACGCATATCACGTGAAACAGCGGAATCGTAGCTTTCCGAATGTTTTCACAGCGAAAAAAAATGATAAAGTTACACTAAAATGATGTATAACAGAGCTTTCATACAGCTTTGCACACACATTACTCTTGGACGGATTACTCGCGAATGCAGGGTGGCACAGAAATGCCATGCATATCACATGAAAGTGCAGGAGCAGAGCTTTTCAATGATACCACACATCACTGTGCTGTCATCCCATCACACTATAAATACAGATCAATTGCCTACCAAATAAAATCCTGACGAATTTCTTCACAATCCATTATACAGATCTTGTTATCAGTCACTTCATATAGTGAGGAATATCGTATCTTACCACGTCTTAGGCTGGCGTGTGTTTCTCCCTGTCTATGCACATTTGTAGTTCAGCTTTCAAGATGCAAATATCTCCATATTGTCCAGTTGACACTCCATCAAACTTTGTATAACAAGACCAGCCACTTCACCTTTGCGCACCCAACTGCAGCCTAATTATGCATGCATGACAGGGCCGTAGTCACCATATACATTGAGGGGGACACGTGGCCCCCACCTTCCCACCCCCCCACCCCCCCCACCCCCCCACCCCCCACATGCCCAATTTTTTTTTACTGCAATCAAAGTGGCAAATATTATTTTGGAGGACATCATTGCACTTGGTTGACTACTTTTCTATGATCTTAGATGTAAATATTGCATGTTTCTTTCAGATAAAACACATTTTTGAATTGTGAATGAGTCAATGGAATTTCTTGCAATAATGAAAAAATATCATGTCCGCCTGGCACAAACCACATGTTTTGGACAGCTGTAAAGTGACAGAATGTCCCAGCATCGTGGTTCTTATATTGCCAGATTCCAGAGAGTCTCCCCTCTTCATATATGGCAGAATATGTCAACTTCCAACTTGCTATGGTGAGATACATGTAAACATGTAAGAATTTAGTAACACAGATTTGTTTTTTTCATTGATATAAAAATTAATATAAAATACAGGCACATAGAAGGACATGAAATGATGGCAAATCTGGTCTCCTATGTCCGAATTTCATGTTCATTGGTCAGTCTGAACTGGTATAATGGCCGAGCCCTCCGCCTCAAACATTTGGTCGAGTGTCCCTTTTTTTCACAAATCCAAGGTGGCAACCCTAGTGGGAGTTAATGCTGTGTTGGTGATTATCTTGCCAGTTGGACATGAAGGAAGAGACTCACATGTCGGGTCAGACAGTGGATAAGCCGCTGACGGTGCTAACAGCGCCAACAATGGTAACAGTGCTGACAGAGCTTACAGTGTTGACTTGGGGTGGGAGTTAATGCTGTGTTGGTGATAAGCTTGCCAATGGGACATGAAGGAAGAGACTCACAGGTCGGCTCAGACAGTGGATAAGCCGCTAACGGTGCTAATAGCACTAACAAAGATAAAGGTGATGACAGAGCTTACAGTGTTAACTTGGGGTGGGAGTTAATGCTTTCACAATGCGGCTGTCCAGCCACCTTGGGACGGCAGTGCAGTGTGTTGGTGATCAGCTTGCCAGTGGGACATGAAGGAAGAGACTCATATGTCGACTCAGACGGTGGATAAGCCGCTGACAGTGCTAACAGCGCTAACAATGGTAACAGTGCCGACAGAGCTTACAGTGTTAACTTGGGATGGGAGTTAATGCTTTCACAATGTTGCTGTCGCGCCACTGTGGGACTGCAGTGTAGAGCGTTGGTGATGAGCTAGTCAGTGGGACATGAAGAAAGAGACGCACCTGAACTAACATGCACATGTTGGTAGTGGCCCAGCTACCAAAACATAGAACAGAAAAGCTCAGATTACAACACACACAGTACAGAGGGAGCGTGACTTCACTTTCTTCTCAGGACGTCATTTCTCTACTATATCTTTACATAGCAAATAGTTGTTTGATGCTATTAATGTACAAAATCTGATACATAGAGCCTTTAATGTGATATAGCTTATTAAAGAGCAGGAGGAAGTTCATGTTTACACAGCACCCTCTTGTTTTTTTAAACATCAAAATGGTGGTCAGAACCTGGCATGATCAAATGGACGGCAGTTCTGATGAGGAGAAATAAGAGGAAGGAACACATGAATGAGCAGGCGGCTAGTGTGAGCCACAAAGCGCCTTGACACTGCCCCCTCACCAGTGGCTACAGTTTCTCAGTTAATCAAAAGAGGAAGGACATGAAAATGACAACACAAACTATAAACACAGCCTTAAAATGGATGAAGCTGTGATGACCAGTTAAAAGCAGTGTCTGATACTGATTGACTTCTCACACTCAAAGATTCAAGGTTACATCACTAATGATATACTCATGTAAAGGAGGAAAATATCTATATGCATGGGGTTGTGCGTAATTCCATTTCAAAGTACTCCATACCCACTCATATGTCAGCTTTTATCTATTATAATGCTTTTTTTCTGTGGCCTCCTGGGCATCTAATGGACTTCTATTTACAAACTGCAGCCACTTCTTTGTTTTGTGTCAAAACTGAACCAAACTGTCCAACACAGTTTACTTTTTTGTCTATTTCTACAGATAACTTTCTGGGCATTTGGGCTTTTTTCATCATTAACCATGGAGGAAATGCTGCTCATACCAGTCCCTGGCCATGTGAAACCAATTATATTTTGGATCCTGATCCAGACTTACACAGACAATAACAGCTTTGACACTGCAATAATCCCAACGCAGTTGCCAGAATACATGTTAGCATTGTGCGTTTCTGCAAACCACAGACAGATAAGTTACATTTGTACATTTCATATGTAGCAGATATGTTGAAACTTTATTTTCAATGTGGTCAATGTGTGGCTAGGGTTAGGCACAAAAAAAACATTGGTTAGGGTTAGGAAAAGAGTAGAAAAGATACCTGGTTATGGTGCAACAAACAGGCTGGAAATGTCCCATGTTGTGTATATATATATATAAATATATATGTTGCTCTCTGCTGCTTGGCTTGGCTGCTGTCTGGCCTAGGTGTAACGCCATCAACCATTCCCTACTTCCTCTACGAAAAAAACTAAACTCAGGTCATATACAGTATATGTAATTTAATTTATGTCAGTTTAGAAATGTTGATATGATACGAATGTAGCATATCCATGGTTTGCAGAAACGTACAATGCTATTATTTAATTCTGGCGACTGGGCTGATAATCTATTCTTTAAAGCTTTATTTGCTCTACAAAAACTACAGAAAAACATAATGGATCCAACCTCTCACAATTTTCATAATTTTACCCGTCACCATATCAAATGATAATGCATTCTGATATCTATTGGCATCCTATTCTAAAACTACCTTCACAAACATTTTTACAGTAAACTACAGTAATGAAAGATTTCAGCAACACAGAGGTCACGTGACCAGAAGGTCTGTAAATTGAATCCCTCGAACAGCCAGAAACGGCCGGGTGCTGAGGGTGAATGAAAAATACTCTTCCATTCCTCAGCAACTACAAACAAGAAGCCCTTAAGTAAGTGGCCCAGTGGAGCTGCTCGGCAGACACAAGAACAATAGAAGACGCCTCTGTGTTCAGCTCTGAGGTGTGACTGTATGAACCAGACCCGCTGATTTATGAAATCAGGCTCAGCTTATGTAAAAGTAGCATTTTGTGTCAGAACTGTAGGAGAATTGCAGTTCAATGGGAGTTACTGAGAGTTATTTGCTAATTCTTTATATGTTCACTGATCAGTGATATTTATTTCTGCTAAAACAAAAATGCTAATTCTGTAGCTTGTCCAAAAAGTTATAATAATCATGGCTCCTACAAAGATGTGTGAATAATTTCAGTTTCTTTTTAGGGATTAAACTGATGCTTTAAAATATTTTTTGAATTCTCAAACATACTGCTGCAGTTAAGTGTTACTAGAGGACAACTTCATGTTTCCAAATTCAGTCCTTTCACTCGTCTTTTGTTCCACCTGTCAGTGTGGATTTAGACTCCCTAGTAGGCCTTGGCTGAAATAGGCTTATCTCTGCTGAAGACCCTCTGATGAACAAAAGCCCATTAAGACGTGTAAATGAATGCTCCCATTCTGTGTGCACACAATAAAGATTTCTATTTTCCAAATTCTTCAAAGAATTCAATAAAAGTTAAGGGGGACAAAAGGAACAACAAACAAGACAAGGTATCTTTCAAAGCCCTCTAAACAAAACCTATACAACACACACAGACTAAATAAAGACACTTGGAGCCGTTGATATGATTAACCAAGTTATTACAGATAACTTTAATAAAAATGTATCCGGCATATTAAAGTTATTCAGTATCTGTTTCAAGTTCTGAAATGAGAGAGTAATATCAAAAGACTGTCAGAAAATGTATTCTGGAGTCCTGCTGATGTCCTTTGTCCTGGCTGAATATATCATGACTAACAAGCCTTGGAGTGGATTAGGCACAGAGGATTGAGCAATTTTCAGACTTGAGTTTATTTTGCTGGATATTATAGCTCACACAGCAGCACATTCCCACAAGAAGGGAACAATCTTATTAAAAGGCCCATATTTCCTATGGTGATATAAGACCAAAGACATACATCCGTAACCATGTACCAAATGTCGAAAGTACACTGTCAGACATCTGCTGGCTTGAAAAAAAATTCAAATTAATCGAAGCGTTCAGTCTATCGGGGTCTTCAGTAGTGTGGTCATGGGATGCACATTCACTGGTCAAATCAAATGATGTGCTTCGGTTTTGATGAGAGGGAGGACAGAACAAAACCAGTATGGCACTGACATGAAAAACGATAACAGACATAAGAGAACGATAAACAACACAATGGAAAGTTACTGCTAAACATAGTTTTCATCCTCAGAGATTCAAAAGCAGACATCATACCTGCTGGTTTACCTTACTGTGTGGTTCCTGGTTTTGTTGTGTTGAATCGCAGACTACTCCCACCGCTTTTCTATGGATCGAGTATAGTCCTTCGTAGTCTGCAGTAAAGGCTGCCGCCATCTTTAATCACAACAGAGTCCATCTGTCGATGGTTCTTCCCTTTCTACCCTCTCTTTCTCTGTTCCAGTCTCTCTGTTCCAGCCCTCTCTGTTTGTTGTGGGGGGTTCTTATTTTCCATCCAACATCAAACCACCATATCGACAGGCTCATGGGCCGCCCAGTAGGGGGGCAGCATGAACATGCTGCATTGGCTGTTGTCCTTTTCCAAGCCGCAGATTAACTGACCACATTTATTTTTTCTCAGAAGGATACAGATAGCCTGCAAAAAATTATTTCAGCTCTCAGGCCTTTGATTTCAACAAGCCTGGCCTCAAAGCTCCTCCATGATTGTCCCTGAACGCATCTTTTCCTCAGATGTTCTGATTGATGGGATTTGGAGCTCTCTTTGATTGAGGCCACATCTGTATAACTACTTTAAAATTTGTGTATTCATTTACGACAGAGTCTAAGGGTTTTGACATTTTTTTTTCCATCTCCACCTTATCCATCACATGTAACGTAAAAATGAGAGCACCCTTTAAAAGCAAAGCTCGGCTGGAATTCTTTGATCTCACCAACTGAAACTAAATGTGACCTGAGCAGCCTCAGACTACATTTATAAGTGTAAGCAGACTGTCTGTCTGCAGTCATCCAACTGATGCATTTCATTTAAAGTGACACTTCCTTTTTGTTCCTCCTGGTCCCTTTTTGCATTCAAAGCCTGGATGCAAAGGCGTATCTTGTTTACTGTCACTGTTTTGTTCCGCCAAACTCTTTCAATGAACAATAAGAGGAGTTGAATTTCAAAATGGTAGATGCTCTCACCTTCCTCTCCTGCTGTGTGGCTCGTCGGATCTTGTTTCTGTGGTCCGCCATGACTGGGCGCAGTCCCCTGCCTGCCACTCTGCAATACTTTCTCTTACTCATGAACCTATTTCTGATTCTTACTAGTGTGTTGCTGAAAGATGAGCATCTTTACTTTATATTGCAGCTTCAGCCGTGCGACCCTATTGGAGGAAACAAGGACCAGATGATTGTCTGCACAATCGTATTGTAGCTATGGTAACAGACCCAACAGGCATGAGTGATGTGCACCTAATTGCTCCGTACACATTAAGCAGCAGCAAAAACAGAAGAACATAAATTAGCAGTGTTGTGTCAAATCACATCAGTTTCTTAGACATTACACATTTCAGCCCCAAAGGCTTTTCAACGAACTGCATCACAGCGTCATATTTTATTAAAACTTACATCTATCTGCTGTATGAAGTTGTGAAACAGCCCAGCAAACGAGGAGACGAATGCAAAGAAAGCGGGAGAAAGATGGATGAAAAGACATTTTAGAGAGAGGGGGAGAGATGATATTGCCTTTGTTATGTAGCTTCATCAGCTGCTTACCTTTCAACTGGATTTCACACTTGCACGTCTGCGTGTAGCCAGGGTCAGATCCAGCACAGCCTTCCCACAATGACTAATTTTCTCCTCACACTGCACCAGCTAAGAGCCGTTGTGTCGGCTGCCACTTGCATTTGTCTGGATTATGATGCATTTAAACACATTTTATTTTCAGATTTTAGCTTGTCAACGCTCTGTACAAACATGAAGGGTAATGTCAAAAATAATATTTTAGACAAAACAAGCTGCAAAAGACTAGCAGGAGTGAGATTGTAGGATAAGGACACAGCAAGATGCCAAGGAATGAACTCTTCAAAACTTCTTATAACTTCAATGGGCCGAAAAACCCAAGGATGCCTGAACATTGCATGTTGTAGGCTAGGTTATCGGAGCAAATGCTTTTAAGTAAGTTTATCCACTTTTTTTCTTTCAGTTAAATCCTTGACTTTAGCTAAGTTCTTGGCCTGCGAATAGAAATTTGGCTACAAAGTTCTGCAGCATGGCAGCAAAACTTTCCAGTCTATTTAAATAAATAATGGCGCATCAGTAGGAATACAATGGAGTTGCTCTTGTGCTACAGGGTGGATGGTCCAAAAAATGGTTCAGCTTGTTTCAACACTAAAATTATTGACAAACAAAATCTCAAGATAAATCCTACTGTGAGCATTTTGTTACCATTAGCATTATCTTTCCCATCAGCTACTTAGCACTTCCTTTTTTTTTTTTTTTTTTTAAAGTTGTATAGTCTCTTAACTTTGTAAAATAGTCTACCAACACAAGTTCTGCATTTGCTACAGTCATAGTTTGTATGCTTGTGTGGATTAAGAATGTTTAATAAAGTGATCTCATCCCTCCTTGTCAGATTTTGCCGGTTGGGCAGAAGCCTGGCACAGTCTTTTGCCCATCTTAATGCAGACTGGGTCGGCAGTGAGAAGGACTCAGCGGTTATGTTTAGGCAACAAAACTAATTGGTTATGGTTAGGAAAAGATCATGGTTGATATTAATCACATGTAGCGACTCACGAAAGGGGTCAGGGGTTAGGCTATAGTCAGGAAAAAGATTGCGGATGACGCTAAAACACACCTGTCTTTGAGTAGCACAAACGTTGCAACCAATGTTGTTGTTTGGTCTCAAACACCAGTCTGCAAAGTCAAAGTCAGATGTTTATTGGACCCATCTGGCTCAAGCAGTGTATTTTGATGCCCTAGGAGTGAGATCAGACTGGTTAAAAGTAAGACCAAGTGAGGGGAAACTTTAATTATAACGTTGCTTAATACAGGACTAGCTATAAGTAGCCTCACTAACTTTAAAGGTATGCTAGGCAGGGCTGCTGTAAAAACTGAGGAAAACATCATCCCAGCTTTGTCCAGTTGGTATTTTGCCCCCCTGTATTTGCGGTGTTTTACTGAGTCCGCGATTTTCATAGCTTCTTCTTGGGTGTGTGCTGTTTACAGTCTTGCACCTGGTCAACACCTTTTTTAAAGTCCCAACCCCATTTGTGCGCTGTTCCCACGAACGTCCAGAAAAATAGCAAAATAAAAAGACAATAAAGAAAATACATCACATTCCTTAAGGAGGCTTCAGGATAAGAAAGTTACTCCGAAATGTCAACGGGAGGTTCCAGACTTAAAAGCAAATTCATAACTGATGGCAGAGAGGAATTACTTGTTTTGTTAGGAGAAACCTGCATAATATACAGTACCTTTAAGGCTAACTAATCTGTATCAAAATGTGGAAACCACCATACAAAAGCACATACTCTTTAAAAAATATTGAAGGCATAGGTTAGTTCGACATTTCGGTAAATGATTGTCTTTCTTTCAGAGAGATGATGGATACCATTTTAATGTCTGTAAGTAACGTTAAAGATGAAGCTAATGCCAGCAGCTAATGTTAGGTTAGCATAGTATTGGACTGGAAACAAAGGGAAACAGCTAGCATGACTTTAGGTAACAAAGTCTGTTAACCTACAGCTCATAAATTAACATGTTGCATCTTGTCTATTTACGACATACAAAAACATTGTTTTACTGGAGCTTATGGGCCAAATTTCTTGAATCACTGTTGCCAAGCATTCAGCGGAAACTCCACTACTGGTCCCTTAGCTAAATTTATTTGTAAATTGAAATTAAAATAGTGAGATCTTTTCTTTCTGAGAGAAGATGGATAAAATTTTCATGTCTGTGCGTAACGTTTAATTTGAAGCTACTGCCAGCAGCTAACGTTAGGTTAGCATAGTGCTGGACAGGAAACAGAGAGAAACAGCTAGAGGGCTTGGTCAAAGGGGAACAAAATCTGTTCACCTGCACATCTAAAGCACCCAAATTAAAATGTTTTATCTTTTCTATTTACCACATACAAAAATGTGATTTTACTGGGGCTATGGGCCGAATTTTTTGAATCAGAAACAGTTGGCAGGCAACTAGCGGTAACAACCACTGGTCCCTTAGCTAAATTTATTTGAAAATCAAAAATAAAATTGTAAAATCTAACTAAACGAAGACAGTTATTGCTGCGGCTTTAATTGACAGTAGACTGTATGGATCTAGTTTGCTAGTTGATGATATCATGTGATGAATCAGTTGTAGCCATAGCCTCATTAGCTGCCACTGAATATTTGTGACTTCCATAGTGTTTTAGCATGAGCAATACTCAATGATCACATTAACTGCTGACATGCTCAGAGAAATATAAAGCAGTCAGAGGAGGTTTGCCAGATTAGTGCAGTGTCTATCAATTTGCTGGTCAGTTATCAGAATTCAGTTATTGAAAATGTACTTGAAAAAAGTCTCACTCCTGTTTACAGAAGGAAAGAGCAAACTGTACAGAAACAAAGAGTTATATTCTTATAAATATTATCACACATTCAGGACACTGGGGTATTCCTGCACAAGCACAGCAAAATAAGATGATTTTTCAAAGCAATAGAGTGATAAATAATTAAATAGATTGCTATAGTAATACTTCTTATTCTCTCAGGGAGTGAGCTGCCTGGTGTTCCCCACACGAACAAAAAAATCCCCCATGTGATCTCTGACTGGAAGATATTGTATCTGTCAGGTTGTGATGTTGCAGGGGTTTATGATAAATAAGCAGAGCTGCTAAAAATAATCAATTCCATGTGTCATTATGAAATAAACTATAAGCACCTGCAGCAATTTAGAAGCACTCAGATTCACTCAAGGATGCTTATCTGGTTTTATCACTGATGGTGCAGTAACTTGGTTTTAAGACGGCTACATTTTGCTCAGTGAAGCTCCATCCTAAGGGCACAAGGGGCATAAATCCTAAATAAGAGGGGGAAAAATCCCAAGTAGGATTCAGCATTCATGCTTCCCCAAAAAAACCTAGCATGGGACTTTGTTTGTAGGATGTATCTGCAAATTATAAACAAAAATGCTATCTAAGAAATATTGTTTTAGATAAACTAGATAACTATCAGAGAAACTGTCACATTTCGAGGCGCTCTGAATTAAATCTACCTGTGTGGCTTATTCAAGAGAAGCCTTTTGCTGACGTCTTGCTATAAGCAGGTCAAGGTGAGCACTCCACATCTGTGATTTTCACTGCTAACTCATTCCCAATGGAAATGAGTCTTATTCATTTTTCAAACAGCCTCTAGGATATCAGATCCAAAAGAAAAGGGGAGGAAAAAAAAGCCCCTCAGGCGAGCATTCATCTTTGATGTTTTGAAAAGAAAGACAGTGAAAAGCTGCAGT